AAAAAGTCAACAAAGAAGTATCAGAGCTGAACCAAACTTTTGAACAAATGGTTTTAGTAGATGTGTACAGAGTGTTCTACTCCACAACATCAGAATACACATTCTCTCAGTTTCACATGGGATCTTCTACCAAACAGACTATGCACTAGGTCACAGAACATGCTTAAGTAAATGCAAAGGAATTGAAATTATCTCATACTTGTTGTCAGACTATAGTGCAATGATATTGGGAAACAATGGCAAAAAGTCACAAAAACTTCATAAACATGTAGAAATTAAATAACACCCTCCTGAACAACCAGTGGGTCATAAATGAAATTAAAGAAGAAATTAGACAGTTTCTAAATTAAGTGATAATGACAATACAACATACTGGAACTTATGGAAAAATTGAAAACAATCTTACAATGGAAATTTACAGCAGTAAATACTCATATTGGGAAAACAGAGTGAAATAAATAAATTATTGAACCTCAACCTTCTAGAAAACAAAGAACAAAAGAAGAAGAAGGAGGAGGAGAAGGAGAAGAAGCAGGAGGAGAAGGAGGAGAAAAAGGGAAAGCCCAAAGCTCATACAAGGGAGGCAATTATAAAGATCAGAGCAGAAATTAATGCAAGTGAAACTCAGAAAATAATATAAAGAGTCAATAAATTGAAGAGATGGTTCTTTGAAAAATTAAATAAAATTGACAAATGTTTAGCAAACCTTACCAAAAAAGGGAAAGAAAAGACCCAAATCCATGGAATTAAGTATGAAAAGGGTGAAATCACAATGAATCCTGTGGAAATCTAGATCATCAATACCTACTTTAAGAACCTTTATTCTTATAAGATGGAAAACACAGAAAAATGGACAGGTTCTTAGACACATATGAATTACCAAAGCTGAATTGAGAAGATATAAAAATTCTAAATAACATAATATCTATCAATGAAATTGAAGATGTAATTAAAAACCTACCAACAAAGAAAAGCTCAGGTCCTAACAGATTCCACAGGAAACCTACAAGAATCCTGGCAGATTGTACAACTGAATTCTACAAGAAATTTAGAGAAGATCCAATTCCACTACTCCTCAAACTCTCTAATAAAATTAAAAAGGAAACAATACTCCCAAACTCATTCCTTTAAGCAAGAATTACCCTGATACCAAAACCAGAGAAGGTCCCAACTAAGAATGAGAACTATAGGCCCATCTCCCTAATAGATGCAAAAATCTTCAGTAAGATACTGGCAAACAGAAGGCAGCAAATTGTGAAGAAGATTATGCGTTGTGATCAAGTATGATTCATCCCAGGGACACAGGGATGGTTCAGCATAAACCAGTCAATAAATATAATATACCATATTAACAGAACCAAGGATAAAACACTACATGATCATCTCAATAGGTGCATAAAAAGCATTTAACAAAGTCCAACACTCCACTCATGATTTTAAAAAGTACACAAAATTGTAATAGATGATCTTTATCTCAGCCTGATAAAAGCCACCTACTATGGCTTATGTTTAGATATTCCTCCAAAGGCTCATGCAGTTGTATGTGGGGTCTTCTCAGAGATGGCTGAATCTAGAGTGTGTGATTGACCATGGCACAATGAAGATTAAGGGTGGGTGATTACTTGATCAGTCAACGGATTGGTCTGGCACCACCCTAATCTTGGTACCCTAGACAGAATATAAAGGGGGCAGAAAAAAGCTGCTAAGGTCCCTGCTTGTTTCATTGCCTTCCACCCACCATGAACTTTTTCTTCTCTGTGATGCCTGTGTACTGTGCCACCCTGCCTTGGAGCCAGCCAATTATAGACTGAAACCTCTACAAACTGTGAGCTAAATAAAACTTCCCTCCTTTAACTTTGGGTGTCTAGTATTCTGTTTCAGCAATGAGAGAAAAGTAACTAAGACACCACCTATGACAAACCCACAGCCAGTATCATACTAAATAGTCAAAAAGCTGAAAGCTTTCACTCTGAAATCAGGAACAAGACAAGGATATCCATTATCACCACTCTTACTTAATATAGTTCTGGAAACACTAGCCAGAGAAATGAGAAAAGAGAAAGAAATAAAAGGAATAATGTTAGGAAAGGAAGAAATTATATTATCATCATTTGAAGACGATGTAAAAGACCCCAACAACTCACCAAGACTGCTAGATTTAATAACCAAATTTATTAGCATAGCTGGACACAGACTCAACACTCAAAAATCATAGCATTCCTGCACACAAATAGCAAACTCACTGAGAAAGAAATTAGAGAAACAACACCTTTCATAATAGTATCCAAAAAAATGAAATACTTAGGGATCAATCTAATGCATGATATAAAAAAGAAGTAAAGAAGGATAAACTTGAGACATGCACCCCTGTAATCCCAGCACTCAGGAGGCTGAGGTAGGAGGATCACTGCAAGTTCAAGGCCAGCATGGGCTACAAAGTGAGGTGAAGGCCAGCCTGAATTGCATAAGACCAAGTCTCAGACAAAAAATAAAAAAATAAACTTGAGACATTTCTAGGTAAATAGATGGACTTTGATACCATACTTTTAAGTGAAACATATCAGACACACATGTTCAAATATCACATGGTTTCTCTGGTGTGAGAAACCAAAAGGGTAAATAAGGACAAAATGTATAACAGGTACTGTGAAATAGGAAGAAAATGTTCAAACGGGAAGCATAACTAGTGAGGGGGAAAGGAAGGGAAAAGTTATTTTAAAAAGAGAGAGAATGGAAGGACAAAAGGAAACAAAGCTCTTGTAAGTAAGGATGGAAAGAGGGCTTGAAGGGAAGGGAGAGAATGGGAAAAAAGAAGATATATTAAGTACAGGTACAAATTCCCTATGATGACTGTGATCATTATGTATATCTAGAATGCACCAATAAAATTAATATAAAAAGTCAAAGTAAGTAACTAAATAAAAGTGTCTGGAATGCAGCATTGTTATACAAGTGCAAAATGTCACTATTGCCGTACTCTCTGGATATCACCTGAATGTTTTAGAGCTGGGAAGACGTATTCTTTCTACTCCTTCCCATTTCCCACTATTACCACCACCTCCTCCATTCTCCATTCTCTTCTGCTTCCATTTAGCCCATGACGAACCTGAAGTGGTAAGTTCCAGGCCAGGTAGACCATGTATTTATACTCATCCATCCAGGTCTCGGCCACACGCAAGGCATTGCGCTTTAAGGAAAGACTTAGATCCAAGGCGTAGGGCTTGTGGTGTCGCTCCAGATGACCTACTCGGGAGCAGGGTAAGACCTCGATCTTCCCTCCACACTGCCATACCTGAAAGGGAAGGATGGACTCAGCTGCATGGGCTGGGTCTACAGTCAGTGAACTGCAAGACTCCTTGACTCACAGAATGATCCTAAAAATTATTTAAAGACTATTTTTGTCCTCCAACTCCCACCCATAGGTTGCTTCACCATCTTACCTAAACTATCCTTCCTTAAGAGTCTACTGAAGTGCTTCTCTCCTGTCATCAAACAGCTACTGAAATCCCACCTCCTTCAGGAAGTTCTCCTAAAAGGACCCAAAGAGGGGCACTTCTGTTTCCTAAGTCCTAAGGAAAGTGCCTAAGTCCTGAGAGGAACTGTCCTGAGCCCTTCTCACTAGACTTAGCTTCTCATTAGCCTTCCTGCCTGCATGTTAGATACAGGACCAAGGGGCAGACAGACTTTGAGGTGGCCTCCATGACCCCTCCACCTGGGGTCCACACCCTTGCCTAATCTCCTTCCCCTGATTGTGAGCCTATGACCATTTTCTGACCAACAGAATATGACAAAGGGTATAGAACATACTTGATCACACATCTGTGGGTACATGACACAAGACTGTAGTATTCATCTGGCTGTGAGACAGGATCTCATGGGCTTTCAAGAAGCCAGCAAAAATGTTGTGAGCTACTTTATGAGAAGGGCCACATGGCAAGAAGCCAAGAGTGGCCTCCAACTGATGTGTCAAACACTGATTGTTCCCTCAGTGTGGAAGACATGAAGGAACTGAGTACTGCCAACAATCATGTGGTCCTCAAAGCAGATCCTTCTCCAGTCCATCCTCTGTGAGAACCCAACCCTGGTCTACACCTTGGCTTCATTCTTGCTGAGGACCCAGCTAAGTTATAGACCCCTGACCTATGGGAGCTGCAGGATAAAGAATGCATCTTGCTTTAAGACACTAGGTTCATGATAATATTGTTACAAAGCAGTAGGTATCAGTGCAAAAGCTATCATGACTTAAGATCCTATAAATGTTCTTCCTTACCACCTCGATGGGTGTGAACATACTCTTTAAAATATGCATTCTAATATTGGGCTTAGAAAACATTTTCATCCAAATGGACACTAGAACTATCTAATCATGTTGGGTTGATATCATGCAACCTGTGTCCAGGTGAGTTTCAGTTCTTAGGAGCTAACTTGCTCCCAAGCAGCAGTTAAAGCCTACTGTACTCAGGCCAGTGGGGACCCCTGAGACAAGTGTGGGTAGTTGGGCTCTGCTGGCTTGGTTGTCAGGAGGATATCAAAAGAGTGACCTCCTGAAGAGTCAGTTCCATTGTGTGATTTCAAATTTTTTAACTTATTAACTCATAGGTCCCTCTACCTAGCGTCTTACAACCCAGAATAATGGATTGTAAAAGACCAGACTTGGAAGTCAGCCTGATCTGTGCTTGAATCCTGACTGTGCACCTGGCAGCTGGAGAAAAACCCTCAACTCATTCACCCTCAGAAAGGATGAACCCAACCTCCCAGGCCGACAGGAGGGTCCAAAGGACTCAACAAGCACTCACTGCAGCAGCCTCTAAGATTACCCTGAGGCACATCTTTTCTCCCATTGTCCTGCTCTATTTCTCCTCCATAGTCCCTAGAATCATGTGGAGAGTACATCAAATTTGTTCTTCCTACAGTCATGCAAATAGAAATCCAAATAAAACTTCAATTCTCCTAGTTGATGAAAGTTTCCAATTCATAGAAATTTACGACAGAAAAATATATATTGGCACAAGAAACTCTCAATGCAAAGTAAAAGTCAGGACTGCCATTTATGAAATGATGTTATTGATTGTCTTTGCCCAACAGTTTCCAAATGTTACTTTCCCAGTGTGCTCTCAGTTGTTAGTTTCCCCCTTCTTCTCCCCCTCTTCTTCTCCCTATGTCACTCTCTTTCTTTCTCTCTCCACCCTTTCCTGCCCGTCCATCCCACTGTGACACATGCACACAGATATGAAGCTTGTACTTACAGAAACAGTGGTAGCAGTGTCTGTTACACATGTCCTAATGCTTTTCATGAAGTTAGCCCTTGCCATGCAATTATGATTGTGGTCCCTGTCTAGGTGCCTTGCGCATGTGTATCAGCTGATTATTTCAAGGCCCAAATCTGGGCCCAGGCAACCCCTGGGTTAAGCTCTGGCACAGTATAAGTGCTTCATAAATTCTGGCTTTTCCTTCCCCTCATCATCCCCATTTATACACATCATCCCCATTTACACAGGGCTGGTGGGTACCAGCACTGCTGTGGCCACTAGATGTCAGAAGAAAACACCCCATGAGGCTTCAAGTTTTGTTCCTGGAAAAAGATAGAATCTAATGAAGAAAATGCTCAGAACCGCTAACCATCTGGGAAATGCAAATCACGACCACTAGGGTGAGGCCTGGAAGGGCTTATCTTCCACTTGGCTCCTCCTTCACTTTCTCTGCTCTGGGGTGGCTGTGACTTGGGCAGCACCTCTTCCACACTGGAACCTCAGTATGCAGTCCTGCCTCCAAGCCAGGCAGCCCTGGACTATAATCGTGAGGCAAAGTAAACCTCTGCTCCATCAATACTGGCTGTTGAGTATTGTGTCCCAAATAATAGAAAAGTAATGAAAACTTGGCAGAAGGGATATTTTATGCAAGAAATCTGTTCTAAATTGATTTTGATGTGTGGACTCTGTCGGCTGTAATGCTTCCTGCCACTTCAAGTTTGGCATGTGGACTATTTTGGAACACCATGCTGCTTCCAACCCTAAGCCTCAGAAGACCTCATATGGTTCCACTTGATCTCTGGTGGACCACAAAAAGAGTTTTCTTTCCCTAGATGTCTGCTGTCACATCAGACTGAGCCCCAGATTAAGCATTTGTGGAAAAGAGCACCCCATCCAAGCTAGGCTGGACCTTCAAATCTATAAGAATCAATTATTACTGCTTTAAACCAACAAGTTTGGAATGGGTTGTTTGGTTTTTTTAAGGATAAAAAGACGAAAACATAATAAGAAACAGACATACATTTACAAAATAACACAAAAATACAAGCAATACTGAATTTCAGACAAGATGATAGGAAACTAACAGTGGTTGTTGTATCACATATTGATATCTTTAAATTGGTTACTCAGGTAAATAAATATAGACATGTAAGATTGATCAAACAATTAAGCATTAACTGTTCCTTTCAATAAAGCAATAGAAGTCAGTAGTATAGCTATGTTAGCTATCCTGTGCATACATATATACATAATTTTCCCCTTCTTTCTTTTCTCTTTTCCCTTATCCCACTTGTTCTTTACTTTTGAGCAGTTTCCATTCATTTCATTTCCCATTATCTATTTTTTTTTTACTGATTTTTATTACTCTTTCAGGTAGGATGGGTTGTTATACAGCTTTTCTTGTTGTTGTTTTGCAGTATTAATGAACCTGCAATTGGATTTCTCTATACCCAACTTCTCTCATAGAGTATAAAAATTCAGGTTGTGCATTTGACCTAAACAAGCAAGAGAAGCTGCCAGGAGCAGACAAGAAGCCTCACCACTGTAGTGTGAAGCCTGGGTTATTCCAGACACATGAAACCTCAGAGAAGGAATACTGGACTGAGGATTTCAATGTGGCATCTATTCCTGAATATTTCTCCTAGACTATATCTCAGCACAGACTCGTGCAACCATGTCCACTGCTCTGCCTGGTCCACACAGAAACAGGCTGGCTCCTTACATATCTGCATTCCTTGCTTCCTCTAGCCACTACAGTCTTCTCAGTCTTTGAACTTACACAAAACTGTCTCCGCCAAAAGTTGGTTTATTCCAGGAGATGCTTGAAGAACATCTGGAATCCTCAGGGGAAAGTGAGGCAACGTCTGCTTAGCCTCAACTCTTCCTTCCCAACCATACTTCCTAAATGATGTTATCCTACATTAGAAAGCTGCACTCCAGGAATCCCACTGCCAATTCTTCCTGGCCTGGTGACCAGGAGACAGGAGAATCTGGCCACTGCTTGACCCAAAGATATTCATCCTTTTCTAGGATTCTAGAGATCCTGTTACCTCCTGTTATCTTTCTGTTGTGGTTTGCATCTTCAGTGTTCCCCAAAGCCCACATGGTAAAGGCTTGGTTGCCAGTCTATGGCATCATAGGTGGTAGAACCTTTAAAAAGTGGATCCTAATGGGTAGAAGTTGGACCACCAGTGGGAGTGCTGGTGAAGGCCATGCTGAGACTCCAGCCCTTTCTCACTCTTACTTCCCAAGTTCCATGACTGCACAGTTTCCTCTAGCATGCTTCCTACTGCAACGTTTTGCCTCATTACATGCCCAAAGGCAACATGGCCAAGCAACCATGGGCTAAAACCTCTGAAATTATGAGCAAAAATAAATACTACTTCCTTCTAAGGTGTTTATCTCAGGTGTTTGGTTACAAGGATGGAGAAACGACTCTCTCCTTCTGCTTTGTCCCATCACCAAAGGAAAATGTACATACCCTCAAGCTAAGCTCCACGTTCTCTCCTCCATAGACCAGCATCCCATCATCCAGGGCTCCAATCTCTCCCAGGAAGAGCCTATTGGCAGCCAAGATGCCCATGATGGAGGGGCTCCTGGAGGGCACACAGCAACAGAGTCACTAATCCCTTCAGGGTTAGGATGGGGAACAGGTCAGGGTGAGGTGTGGGTTGGGAAACCCAGTGACATCTTGTTCTTTGGGACTCTACCTATCCCTCTTCTGATGTGTAGGCCTTCCTTAAATCTACAGGTGGAGCTGAATGCTATAGCCGCCTCCTGCTCTCTGTGCTATTATAAACCTTCTCAAACTATACTGAAGTTGCATCTTCATCTCAGTATCCCAATTTCATAGCCTGATAATGCTTTCAATAGCCCAAGTATCTCCTTTTTGTCTGGAACCCCTAAATGACCCAAAATGCCTGTGATTTCTTCTCTGGGTTGGTTTCTTCTAATGCTTATCCTTCATCCAGATCATCTACTTTTTTACATCATCACTATTACTATCACCAATTATAAACTGAACTCACAAACTTCATTCCTGGGTCCCCATGTGCTAAACAAGGCCCCAGAACCTACACAGACATACCTCACTGGGGCAGTGACATCATCCAGAGCAATCCAGGTTTGTGGCACTGGGTCATAGCGGCACCACAGTTCCCAGTTAAACCCATCCACTGCCAGTTCATACTTCAACAGTTTGAAGGTATCAAAACAAATGTTGTCAAACACAGGAGATATAATCACAGTGCGGTCTTCTTGAATCCGGGCCAAGATGGGCTCTGCCCTGCAAGAAGAGAAAGTGATAAGACAAGCTTGAAGATGAAGGCAAGCAGCAGGCGTGGGCAGACAGAGCTGCTCCCCCGACCTTGCCTAGACATTGACGCCTGTACCCCTTAAGCTGTGCGGGTCAGTGAGGAGGACTCTCAGGAGTCCCCGGAATTTCTGCGGCTTTCATGATAGTTGGGGCTGCTAGAAAATGACCCATGTCAATGGCAGATGGTACTCCAGAGCCATACTCAGGCCACTGGGGACCAGGCCTGTAGTGACCATTCTGTCTGAATTTCTACTACCTCTTGGGTCTGTTCCCAAAATGACGTCATTTTTCTGTGTGGTTCTCTATGTTCTCCATCTAATTGTTAGAACATATAGTCTCAGGACTGAGAGAAACTTTAGGAACTAGGAGTGGGAAATTTCTTCATTCTACAGATAAACACAAAAATGTATAGTTAAGTGAAGTGACTTTGTTAAAGTCACAAAGTGTTTAGCAAAGTCGGGGTCAGGATCAAGTTGTCGATACTCCCAGCCCGTTGTTTCTTCTGTAACACTACACTGTTTCTCTTAGCCAACCAAAATGCCTGAGCAAAAGCTTCCTTTTGCTTAAGGTCTTGGTTGGCTTGTCCTATTCCCACGACATCCTGTCCTGTATTCAGTACTAACACATTATCTCTGTTCTGCCCTTTTCCAAGAGACCCTTCCTGGAACCTCACCAGCCAACGTTTACTTCCACATGAGCATCCAAGATGACGACCACATCGGCCCTGGCGGCTTCCCAGCCTGTGTTTCGTGCATGAGCAAGGCCTTTTCTCTTAGCATGCCGTATTATTTTCAGTAGTCCAGGATACATCTTATTGTAAAACTCGATCTTTTCATCCAAGGGTACCTTTAGTTCTCCTGCCAGCAAAACACACATCCACACAAATACCATGTGCAATAAACAATGCTGGGTAAAAATGTCCTGCTATTGTGGAATACTGGTTGGACTTCCTCCAGAGCAGAAGGAGCAATTTCACAGCCTCAGTGCATAAAATAGGTGGAATTTCTGCTGCTTCTAGCCCACCCCCTCTTTCTACCTTGAGGTTTAATATTACCATTCCTAATTTCCTTTCCCTCACAGTTGAACCATTTTAGTGGCAGTCCCTTGTGGAAATGTGTCTTATATGTGGAGAGATTCTTGGAAGAATGAGTAAGGCAGATCTGCCTTCACTAAGGTGGAGATGTTCATAGACAGTTTTACTTAGCACATCTCCAGAGCTAAACTTGCAAGACTCTGTGGACAATAAACAGCTGAAAATTTTGTTTTACTGGCCTACTCCAGGATTAACTGGGATGGAATGCACAGACTAAACTTTTTGCTAGCTTCCACCTAAAGAGTTCACTTCTCAAAATTATGTAAACAAGATTCATTACCTGCAGGCTGTTTGTAAGTGTTTCTCCTCCTTCTCTCCCTTTTGTTTTTATAAAGCCTGTCTATGCCTCTGTTCTCTGACTCCATCTACCAGTTGCCTCCTTTACATGGATGAAAAATTTGCATGGAAATTCACTGAACAAGTGTGCAAAACATCTAACCAAGGCATTCTGAGTTATTCACTGATAATATTGATTCACTTCATTCCCAAAGAATCCTATAAGGAAGACACAATAGTGTCTCCACTTTGTAGATGAGGAAACAGGCATTGGGATAGTACCAAAAAAAAAAGCTTTTTCAAGTCATACATCCAGTGAACCCATGCTGTCTACCCACCTGGTCATCTGCCTCAAGATCTGTGTGCCTTCCTGGTTGGCTCTACCAAGCCCTCTCTCCATCTCCTCTTTCCTCACTGCATGAAATTCTTGCTGGTTCCTCTCTCAAAAGAGGAGCATATTTGTGAGACTTGGAGTAGCCAGGAATTGGAATGAACACACATGACTGTAGCACTAAAATTTGCCTCAGTTTAGAACTTTCCCAGCTGTGCTTGAGAGTGATTGAATCGATTATTGAAGGTGTAAAAGTCAGTGAGTCCAAGGCTGTTGCTTCCTCCCCGCAGTGCACTGTGAGAAGTATGGGATGCCACGACGACCACTCCCTATCCCCAGCCAGCACTACCTGTAGGAAGTGACCACCAGGAGTTGACATAGATTCTGATTTGCTCCCTAGCTAATTCTGCATCACTTTCATTTGGGTGTGTCTGTTTCCGCATTTTAGAGGGCTATACCAGATTGCCTATCAGAACCCTTCCAAATCCAAATAAAAAGTCACCTTCTCAAAAATAACACCTGAGAATTAAAGATGCTCCTTTGGATATTTTTAAATAAACCTATGCTCCCTTCTCATCACTGCTCATACTTTTCCCTCCCCAAACCTCTTATTCCATGTTAATCAGGTCAGGGTGCTTTGGGATTCTGTACCCTTGTTCACAGAATTCTTTTCTCCACTCCCTCACCCTACTCCAGCCTCCAAGTCTCCTCTTATGTTCTCTGCCTTTTCAGATCCTACCAACGTTTTAGGTCCTGGCCCAATCACCCCTCCTCTAGAAAGCCTCTCTAGATCAACCCTGCTCCCCTCTGCCCCTTTCTGCACTGACAGCTCACTTGGTATGACACCCCCTTCCTCACACATTGAAGTGTGTCCCATGGCATGTCTCACCTCATCAGTTAAAAATGGTAGAAGCTAAGTAAAGAGTTGTTGATTGTGCAATTTGCCTAAATTTGGGAAGAAAATACAGAATCACCACTCTATCGATAGAATTTCTAAAAATCTTAGGTTAAGTTGTTGATGCTTAAGACATTTGACTAGTGCAAATAGAGCTTCACATCTGGGGAAAGAAACAAGGACAGGAAAATTTCTAATACCAGGTTGAAGCATTTTGTCAACACTACAAATAATACTGAAGGGAGCAAGGAGTAATAAGACTATTTGGCTTTTGCTGGGAGCAATCATGGCACGTCTGAGTATGTTATATGTACTACTGCGTCCCCAAAGTGGCACAATTTCACCATATGTTTCAGATGCAGAAACTGATGTATGAAGTAGTTGAATAACTTTCCCACAAAGCCACATGAATAGTAAATTCCTCTTATGCTATGTATATTATTTTCTTCAGTTTAACACAGCAGATCTCTGAAATAAACCCAGGGAGCACTCCTTTACCTATTATTTCCATGATTAGCGAGAGACTCTAACTCCTATCTTAGTGACAACAGCCAAAGAACAACTAACAATACCCTTTTCTGTGCCCACCCAAATTACCCTGAGGGAAAATAGGAGAGGGAGTGGACATGGTGGCAGAGTTTAGAACAATAGGTACTTCTGCTTGGCTTCTCTTTATGCGCCTGCTCTATGTTCGCAATCTTGCATTTTCTGTTTTATTATTCCACAGAGAAATTTCTTCAACTGTCTTATCTACCCACTATCTACCATAAATTATAGAGTTATTGTGGGGATCACCCCCAAAAAATTAAAACAGTGATCTGCAGGTCACTCTTTGAAGAAGCTGAGTCCCAGAGAGACAGAGGACTTGCCTTGACTCATCACAGACAGCAAAGCAGTAGGGCGGAGCACCTCTCTGTGCATCTGACGCCCCCACTTCCTGCTAGCAAAGCCAGCTGTACAACTTCTTTCAGTCTTCATGCCCAGAAATGAATGAAATTAGTCATTCTGTTTTCTTTAGTTTTGAGTGGGAGTGTGCTCCAAGAATTTGAAATTCTTCCGCCTCTCCCCCGCAACCACCCCCCCCCGTCTTCTCTTCTACCTCTTCCTTGTTTATGTGGTAATTGTGATTGAACCCAAGTTCTTCATTTTTAAAAAACTATTTTTTTTCTCTTTTGAGACAGGATTTTTCTAAGTCACTATGTTGCACAGACCTGGCTTGAACTTACAACCTAACTGCCTCAGCCTTCCAGAGTTCTGGAATTACAGGTGCAATTTGCCCAGCAAATTCTACTTTCTTACTTCTCATTTAGTTATACTGGAAGAATGTGAAAGGCAGGTGTATAAAGGAACATAAGAAGTATTTCTTAGTGTCTGGAAATCCAAAAAAGAAGGGTTAAGTGGCCATTGTGTCTATTTTTCTCTCGGCAGAGAGACCTTGAAGCTACAATAACTTATACAGAACTTAAAGATCTTCAGAGAAAAAGAAAATTCTGTCCTTGATGAGCTACCCCTTCAGAGCCCACATAGCTAGAAAAATTGTCCTAACACTATCCCAAATCTTTGGCATTATAATCTAATTCTGGTTCCTTTTGGTTGCACAAGATTAACAGTAATACTAAGAGCTAACACTTGCTGAGGAGTTACCACCTGCTAAATGCAGCGCGTAGCCCAGTTATTATATCAGTGAGCCTGGTGGTTAGCACTAGAACTTTAGACTGTGAAGTTTGTGGTCAAATCTGTTCTGACACCTTCCTCCTGCATGATGCTGAGCAAGCTCTTGAGTAGTCTATGGAACTGGCAAAAAAGTGGTTTGTTTCTTGTAGGGTTGTTGTCATAATTAAAAGAGTTAACACATGTAAGGTGTTCAGAGTGGATATTGTTCCTGTCATTATTATCGCACTTACTCCTCACTGTAATTCATGGGATGGTAATTATGATCAACATCCATGTTTTGCATATAAGAAAACGGGAGCAGTTAGGTCCTGGGATTATAAATTGGGAAAATCAGAACTCAGGTCCATGCTCTGCCTTTCCCACGAGCTGCCCGTAACTGGGCTAGACCTGGGGCAGAGCATCCATGAGCAAGAGTGGTTGCAACCAGGGCAGCTCCACACCCACAGCTCTCTCTTTTTCAGGCTTACCCACAGGGAGCCACCACTGCTCCTTTCCACATTAGTAGCAGCTGTGGCTCCCTCCTCAGTGTCTGAGGTCCTCATTGGCTGCCCACCTCCTTGGCATCTCCAGGCCCCATCATAGTGCATAGAAAGGGTGCAAGACCCTTTGGGTCTGACCCCAGCTCCATGCTGACCTGCCATGCAATTTAGGCACACTGTAAAATCCACCTGTGCCTTAGTCTCCTCATCTGGGCCATCAAGATAATGACCTTCTCCCCTGCCTTTGTGAAAACTAAGAGTGAAAACCAGCACAGACAGGCACTCAGTAAACTACCTTTGTTTTTCCCTCCAAGAGAAGCCTGAAGCTTCCCAAAGCCTAAGCCACAACGCCTTTCCAGCCAACCACAGATATAATGCAATTTTTGCATATTTTCTTGGCTCAAGTTGCTCACCATTTGAGCTAAAATCATCCACCAAAATAATTTCCTTCAACACCTGTGGAGGAGTCCGGTTAATGACGCTGGTGATGGCCCGCTGTATAACGGACAGAGCTTCGTCCACGAATATGAGGATCACACTGAGAGATGGGAGCTGCGCAGGGTATGTCTTCTGAAGACACCTGGAAAAGGTCATTTTTATGACAAGGTTATTTTTTAATTAAACGTTGCTGCCCATTCTCCCCTTCACTTCATATGACGTTATCAGTTGACCCATCAAACCCCCTAACTCATTGTGGAAGGAACCTCTGTGCTGCTTATCACAGTACCAAGGAGATTGGACATTTATTTACCTAAAATGATTCTGTTACACCAAGAACATACTTTTCAAAAATTAATCTTCTGGGGCTGGGGATTTAGCTCAGCGGCACAGCGCCTGCCTGGCAAGTGCAAGGTCATGAGTTCGATCCCCCGTACCAGGGGGAAAAAAAAAAACAAAAAACAAAAGTTAATCTTCCATAGGCATTTCCACTTGGATGCTCATCACACCCCCGAAAACATCCTCATTCCTCTCCCACCCCCAAATGAGACTCCTTGTCTGGAGCCTTCTTTCTGCCATTGCCACCCTGTCTTCCTCCCACGTTGTTGGATCTTTAGTCACCTTTGACAAACCCCCACTTCACCACAGAGTGGAGCAAGCTCTCCACACTTTTTAAAATCATAGCCTATATTTATGGAATGCTTGCCATGTGCTAGGCACCCACTTGCTCTTAGTTTTATAGCTTTATTGAGGTATGATTGATATATTTAAAACTGTACATAATTGATGTACATGATTAGATGGGTTTGGACATATGCTTATGCCTATGACACAATTGCCAAATCAAGGTAATAAGCATATCCGTTATCCCCAAAAGTTTCTTTGTTTTCCTATACTTTATATGTGAATGTACGTGTGTGTTAAAACCACAATATGAGGTCAGTGCTCTTAATAAATATGTAAGTATATGAGCCTGCATTGTCAAGTACAGCCACTGTGTTATACAGTAAATGTCTAGAATTTCCTCATGTTGTATAACTGTAACACATACAACAACTCCTAATTTTAAACATGACTATTGAGATACAATTTACAAACACTAAAATTCATCCATTTAAAAGTATATAATTGCTATTATTGGTAATAGTCACAGAGTATCTGTTAGTATTAATTTTAGAATATTTTCATCCATAGAAAGAAATATTGTATGACTAACCACTCTCCCTCCCTCCTCAATCCATTCCACTTCTGCCCTCAGAGCCACTGATCTAATTTTTGTTTCTATAAAATTACCTACTCGAGACTTCTCATGTAAATAGAAATATAAAACATGATCTTTTGCTACCAGCTCCATCCACTCAGCATGTTTTCAAGGTTCAGCCGTGTTGTAGAAGGTATTAGTACCTCATTCCTTTTTATTGTCAAATAATATCCCATTGTACAGTGATAACTTCTCCACTTACCAGTGGGTAGACATTTAGGATGTTTGCCCTTTGTGGTAATTATGAATAATACTGCAATGAAAGTTTTTGAACAAGATTTTATACTGGTGTATGTTTTTATTTCTCTTATGCAAAGTCATGAGCCAAAAACCAAATATTTCAGTCAAAAATAGACCACACATGCAACTTCAGACCCACAACATTACATTGTCAAGTGGTGTCAAAGTTGTCTTAGGCAATGTAAGTGCACTTTGTGACATTCCCACCATGACAAAATCACTTGACAGTGAATTCTCTACAAATGATTCCATTGTTACGCAACACATGATAGTAACTGGAGTCCAAAAAGGAAAATGGGAAGTGGAGTAGAGATTTTTAAAGATACATTTTGAAAAAATAATAATAATAATAATTTCTTTTTAATCCTGGAATCTCAGGAGTTGCCCCTTGGTCCAAGTAGCTTGTTGTCCAGCATTCAGAAATCGGACTTTTAGCACTAGAAGCACTAGTGCTTCAGTTATCTCTTGATAGGTCTGTGTACAGGTTAACAAATGGCACTCAACCTACTCTGCTGATCCGGATGGGTTCAGCCTGGTGCTTTCATACCACCTTCTAGACCACCCAGGGCAGGGTATGAGCCCAGGAAGGCTCTTCTTGTCTATCTTTCTGCGGTTCTTCCTGACACTTTTCTGGATACTCTGCTGTTTTGCTGGTTACCACTTATTGAGTGATGAGTGTCTCCCACTCAACATTCCGTTATTTCAGACATCACTAGATGTGGAATCCCCTGTGTTCAGTCCAAATAGTTCAGTCCCTCGCACAGAGCTGGGGAAGGTCTCATTCCTCCTTTTCTTCTGGACAGAACCTGAGCAGCACTGCACAGGAGCTGAAAGTGGGGACTGCAGGCAGACACTGGGGAAAGAAGATGTGGGAAAAGATACCAGGGAGAAGGAGCAAGTGGAGCCTGCTACATTCAATCTGATGTAGCTGGAGTTGAAATTCCGTCCTAGAAGTAGGGGTGAGGTACAGGATGGAAATCACAATTGGCTCAGCCACATCCATGAGGAATAGGACTTCTGCATCATAAGAATGGGGAAGGTGTGAAATGTGGTTGGCCTGCCCTCTCTGGGTTGAAGCCACAGCCCTACACCAAGGGCTGGAGAGATAAGAAGCTCCCATTTTGAGGGGTAGCCACACCCACCAAGGGCAGAGAACCTTGAGTTGTATCCACCAGACAGGACTTGGGGTGAGTTGGAAGGAGGGAATAGTGGCTTGAACGCCACAGATTCCTGCTGGTCTTGTAGAAACTTAGTAGATTTTCCAGACAAAATGTTTATTTGCTATGTGCCTTCAAGACTATTTCTGAAAGTGTTGAATGATACTTTTAAAAATTTTCTCCAAATAGTTCTTTGTTCAAAGGAAAAGATGATGCACTTAAACAATGCCATTCTGAAAGCTTCAACCCACATAGTTTTCAAAAATTTATTTTCCAATGATTTCTCTTTAATCTAGATTTCTTGTCTCTGTAATAAAGTTAATATCTGATCTACTACACCCAGTGTTCTAGGGGACAGCACCTCCTCTGACCAGGGCCAGGCTGTTGTCATTACTGGTAATACCTGCTCCTGTTCTCTGCAGTCCCTACCTAAGCCTGTCTTTACATCATAGTCATCAAGGGATATTTATTTGCAACCCCTCAGATTTCAGCCCATTTGGGGCCAAGGGTTCAGCATAGGTGAATGTACCAGGACCTGCATTGTTTAAAGGACTAGGCTGCTTCTTAGTGATGTGAAGAGGCAGCATTTCACAGACCAGCAGGGACTATGTAACAAGACCAACAAGACTGGACTTTATCCTGGAGGGACCAATGGAATTTCAGCAAAGAAATAACACAATTGTATTAACTTTTTAAAAATATTATTCTGCTGCCATGAGCACAACAGGTGAAGGTGTTCTAGTTTGAATTGGAAAGGTTCCCCCACAACCCATGTGTTAAAAGCTTGTCCCTAGTGGGAGGGGAGACCTTGATGAGATGGGGCCTATTGGGGGCTTTTTGGTCTCTGAGAAGCGCTCTAAAGAGGGCAGTGGGACCACATCTTACTTCTCTCATTGTATATCTGGTCATGGGGTGAGTAGTTTTGTCCCAGCCTGTGGCCCCCCCAAGATCTGCTTTCATAGGCTCAAAAGCAAAACATAATCAATCATGGACCAGGGCCTCCAAAACCTTGAGCCAAAATCAGCCTTTTCCTGTATGAACTGTTACAGTGATGGAGCACTAGCACAGGTGAGTAGCACATATGGGCACTGTAACACAGGTAGGAAGGTAAGAATGGCTCGCCTAAGGCCTGCCTTGGGGAAAGAAATAAGTGGACTTGACCACATTGAGTGTGAGATGCCAGGGAGTCACATTATATAATAACATGTATTTACTTGAGAGGAAGCGTACATGATTGTGTTTAATTGCAGACTGGTTAAAACTCTGCTGTACTTCTCCACCCTCTGATCTAAGAATCATATCAGCTGCTTTCAGATTCTTTCTTCCACTCCATCTCCCACCATCCCTGTGAGTATTGTTTTTGGCTATATTCTAAATGTTTTTGCAGTACTTCTCTTACCCCCACCCTAACTTCAATGCCTGTTTTAATCAGCTTTCCATCACTGTGACCAAAAGGTTTGACACACACAACTTGAAGGAGAAAATATTTGTTTTGACTCATGATTTCAGAGGTTTTCGCTCCTGGCTGCTGGCTCCAAGGCATAAAAATCATGGCGGAAGGGCCCGGCAGTGGAAAGCTGCTCAACTCATGCCAGCTAGAAAACAGGGTGAAAGAGAGGAGTCAGAGAGCAAAAGGTCAGATGTAGTCTCCAAGTTCAGGACCCACGACCCACACAAAACACCTGGAGGTGTGCTTTACTAATCTCCTAGTTGTCTCTGATGTCAATCAAGCTGATGAAATTAACCATCACATGTCCCCACCTTGTGTCAAGAGAGGCAGGAAATATGACTCCTACTGTTCCAAGAGCATGATCTCACCCTCAGTGCCTCCCTAGCAGCTGACTTGGAATGTATGTATCAGCTTTGTCCAATAGAATTGTCTGCAGGACAGCAACTGTCTCTATCTGTGCTGCACATTATGATAGCCACATGGGGGTGATAGGCACTTCTATGTGGCTGATGAAGCCAAAAAATAAGCTTTAATTTAATTTATGTTAATTATCTACATTTAAATAACCAGGCATGACTAGTGGCTACCACAGTGAACAGCAGCAGCAGATATTGAAAAAATGTATTACTTAGGCATGGTAGCACACACTGGGAATTCCAGCACTCTGGGAAGCTGGGGTAGGAGGATCACATATTCAACCCCAGTCTGGGCATCTTAGTGACTTTGTGAGATCCTGACTCAAAATTTAATTGTTTGTTGGTATTAAACTTTAAAGAAGTTTTTAAAGGGTCTGGGAATATAGTTCAGTATAAAATCCCTGGATTCAATTGCAGCACCACATAGATAGATGAGAGAGAGAGAGAGAGAGAGAGAGAGAGAGAGAGAGAGAGAGAGAGAGAACCCCAGTAAAAAGTTACACTGTGGAGGTAGTTATTGCAGATCAGTTCATAACTCTCCTCAAATCAATCAGTCTTTAGAGTTTTCAATGATAACAGACATTTTGCTGTAGTGTGTGAGCCATACATTCACCACCG